CCTGGAATAGCCACTGAAATCCTACTCTACTCTGTGGTCAGTAAGAGGTGCCTTCTTTTAAGAGATGGAACTGGGTACCTAATAAAAGCTTGGGTGAAAAAATACACACACACACACACACACACACACACAAGTATGTAGTGTCATAATGAAGAGAGACCAACTGACATTTTATCAGGAAGCTGTGGGAAAACTGGTAGGGCAACATAGTTACATATATTAATCAGCACCTTCATAGGATAGAACTTAATGAGATGGATAGAAATATACTCTGAGATTAATAGAGTTATTGATTATTTCACTCAAAATAATCCAACATACATGGTAGAAATGCTGTTTTTAACATATAAAGGAATGTTGCAGCTTAATTCATTAATCTCTACTTTTCCTAGTTAATTTAGTTGCTGTTGAAAACACGGGATAATTTGGTAATTCTCTTTTAAACTATTTACAATATAATGGGTATACTTTTGTATTCTCTTTCCCAGACTTGAAATAGAATCATTAGCATTTTTTTAAAGATATGCATGGGAGAAATCACTTCTTTCTAACAGTGTCATTAGAAAGTTCTCTGTGTTCTACGTGAATATTAACTATTTTAGTGCTACCCCTGATCATTGATTAGGTGATAAGAACAGAGATCAATGTCACATGTAAATGTCCCTTTTGATTCTGTAAGAATGTAGATGTCTGGAATGTTTAAGTTATTTGAATTTTATTTTAACTAACATCTTTGGTTGATAGAGTTGAGAAATATTTAGTAAAGGATCATGCGTATTAAACATTAATCATTTGTCTGTTCAGCAATATTTATTTGCATAACTAATTTATGTCAGGTCCTGTTTTAGGCCCTGGGATTACAGGGACGCATAAACCTTTGTGGAGCTTATATTTTAAGGGAGAAGACAGGAAAAGAACAAATATGAATTGTGAAGAAGTGACAAGTGCTTTGAAGAAAATAGAGTGACGGGAGAGAGGGTGTTGGGGTGGGGCTTTTTAGGTAGATTAGTCAGGGAAGGCTGTTCTAAAGGAAGAACATTTTGTAAAAACTTCAAGCATAAGGAATAGTGAATGCAAAAACCATGAGTCAGGATCAAGCTCATTGAGAACCAGTTTGGTATGTTTGGGGGAAAAGCAAGAAAGCTGGTCTGATGAGCAGAGAGAACAAAATGGAGAATGATGGGAGTTGAGGGTGAAGAGGTAGGTAGGGGCCAGAGCACAGTGGGCCTTCCTGCTCACAGATTTTTCGAGTATATTTGGAAGCCATAGGAAAAGTTGGGAGCAGAGTTGTGACACAATCTGATTTACATTTTACAAACTTCATTCCTGCTACTGAGTGGAACACTGACCACGGAAAGGCAGGGTCTGAAGCATTGGAGCATTTAGGAAGCTTTTGCAGTAATAGCCTGTGGTTTCCGTTGTGCTCATAACGATCCATTGTGGTGCAAGAAGAGCCTGTTAGAATTATATATTTATTTCTTTATTTAAACAAATGTTCCTCTCCTGGCTGGTGTGCTCAGTGGTTAGAGCACAAACCACCAAAGGGCTGATTGCAGGTTTGATTCCCGGTCAAAGGCATGTACCTGGGTTATGGGTTTGATCCCTGGTCCCATTTGGGATGCATGCAAGAGGCAACCCATCCATGTATCTCACATCGATGTTTCTCTCTCCCTCCCTCCCTCCCTCTCTCTCTCTGCCTACCCCTCCCTCCTTTCCACTTGCTCTAAAAAATGAATGAAAAAAATAATTTCAGGTGAGGATTAACAAATAAAAAAAATTTTTTTATTAAACTTTCCAAATATTTAATATACATATTGGTTCTGGCATCCACATTTCATCTGTATGTTAGTTATATGTCATTTACTATTTTTAGTTTGAGCAACTGAGTCAGTGCTGATGTCATTTACTGAGATGACGATACAGGGTAGAGCAGGTTGGTAGGAAGATGGGGAAGCAGTAACTCAGTTTTGGGCATTTTAAGTTTGAGATGTCTAATAGAAATCTAATGAGATAGATATATCAGGTAGGTGGCTTAGATAGATGAGTCTGGAGCGAAGATTAGAGATGTAAATTTGGAAATCACTAGCATAGAGGCAATATACAATAACTTTGGAGCCAAACTGAATGCAAAATTTTAGCTCTGTCATTTACTGACTGTGATTGTGGACGAATTAATTTGACATCTCTCTGCTTTATTTACCTCATCTATAAACTGAGGATAATAATAGTATCTATCACACAGGGTTATGGTGAGGATTAACTGGGTTAATGCAAGCAAAGTACTTAGAACACTGTCTGACACTCAATACTCACTAGATGTTAACTATTATGATCAGTTTGTGAATTGTGTTTAAAACCACTAGTTTAGATGAGATGATCTAGAGAATGAATGTGGATAGAGAAAAGGGCCAAGGAAATAATAGCAACTTTAAAATTCAGAGACAGGAGGGAGGAGACTGAGAAGGAATTGAGTAGGAGTCAAACTAGGAGGTTGTGGGTTCTGGAAGCCTGCCTAGTGAAGAAAATATTTCAAGGGGAGAAGTTACCAACTTGGACATATTCTGCTTAAGAGATTAAGATGAGGACTGCCCTGGCCGGTTTGGCTCAGCGGTTAGAGCGTCGGCCTGCGGTCCTGAGAGACCCGGGTTCGGTTCCCGCTAAGGGCACGTACCTCGGTTGCAGTTTGTCCCCGGCCCTGGTCGGTTGTGCGGGTGGCAGCCATTCGATGTGTTCCTTTCACATCGATGTTTCTCTCTCTCTCTCTGTTCCTCTCTCTCCCTCCCACTCTACCTGAACAAAAAATGGAAAAATGTCCTCGGGTGAGGATAAAAAAAAAAGATGAGGACTGAGAATTGACCATTGGGTTTATTAGGGTGAATGTTGTTGGAGACCTTGAGCTGTGGTTTCAGTAGAATGGTGAGTATGAACACCTGACTGGAGTGGGTAAAGTAGAGAATTGGAGGCACAGAACTGGAGAGCATGAGTATAGACAACTCAGGCATTTTGATATAAAGAGGAAGAGAGCCCTGGCTGGTGTGGCTCAGTTGACTGAGCATCGTCCCATGAATTGAGAGGTTGTTGGTTTGATTCCTGGTCAGGGCACATGCCTGGGTTTCAGGCTCGATCTCCGGTAGGAAGAGAAAGGAGTGGTAGCTAGAGGAAGATATCTGGAATCAGGGAAGATAGGAGTAGGGTGTTGTTGATTTTAAGATGGAAAGTAAGTTTGTGTACTGATGAGAGTGGCCCAGTGGAAGAGAAAACTCAATTATATTTGAGTGACATGGAATGATTGTAGCAACCAAACCTTGAGTAGATAAAATGAGATGGGTAAGTGCATAGTTGAAGAGATTAGTCTTAGACATTGGCAGAGACAGTTCATCCATTGATGAAGGTAAAGAATATTCATGGAGGTACAGGTAGATTGGTGGATTTGGTTATGATAAAATGAGGGTTTTTTTTATTGCTTTAATTTTTTCAATAAAAGAGAGGCAGGTTAGTCCTGGCCGGTTTTGTTCAGTTGTTAGACCAAAGGGTTGCGAGTTTGATTGTGGTCAAGGGCACGTACCTCAGTTGAGGTTCGGTCCCCGGCCCTGGTCGGTGGTCTGGGTCCTGTGGGAGGCAACCTGTCGATGTGTTTCTCTCACATCAGTGTTTCTTTCTCTCTTTCTCTTTCTCTTTCTCTTTCTCTTTCTCTTTCTCTTTCTCTTTCTCTTTCTCTTTCTCTTTCTCTTTCTCTTTCTCTTTCTCTTTCTCTTTCTCTTTCTCTTTCTCTTTCTCTCTCCCTCCCACAGGAAAAATATCCTCAGGTGAGGGTTAAAAAAAAGAGATTGAGGCAGGTTTATCACCTGAGAGTCAGAAGTGGGAAGAGGTTTGTAAGGATTGAGAGAGAGGAAGTAGTGTGAAGCAGGCATCTTGGAAGGTGGAAGAATGAATTGGCTAGGGAAATGCAGGTGGAATGTCAAGGATTTCAGAGGGCCCATCTGACACTGATCATTAAAGTAGTTCTAACTGGATGAGGAGGGAACTGTGGTGGAGGGTGAGGGTGGTATAGAGTAAAAAAGGGCTGGGGACAGTGCCTCCTCTGCTTCTATTTGTTGTTAATCAGAGAGAGAGAGAGAGAGAGAGAGAGAGAGAGAGAGAGAGAGAGAGAGAGAGAGAGAGAGAGAAAGAGAAACATCAGTGCAAGAAAGACACATCACACATCAATTAGTTGCCTTCTGCATGAACCTGACTGGAGCCAGGATCGAACCTACAATCCTTCGGTCTGTGGACTACTGCTTCTATTTTTTTTTTTTTAATCCTCACCCGAGGACATTTTTCCTTTTTTGTTCAGGTAGAGTGGGAGGGAGAGAGAGGAACAGAGAGAGAGAGAGAGAAACACCGATGTGAAAGGGACACATCAAGTGGCTGCCACCCGCATGACCAACCAGGGCCGGGGACAAACTGCAACCGAGGTAAGTGCCCTTAGTGGGAACCGAACCCGGGCCTCTCGGGACTGCAGGTCGACGCTCTAACCGCTGAGCCAAACTGGCCAGGGCTATTGCTTCTATTTTGAACTCTTCAGTCCTGTGGCTGAGAGGATTGCTCTTGGAACATTGTTCAGGTCCCTGGGTGTTGACAGGGGAATTAATCAAAGTGAATAGGCCCAAAATGAATCATTTCATTTTTGCCTGTGTTCAGTGTCTATATCCTGTTTCTTGTAGAGGATGAGTTCCTACAGGTCTTGGCTCATCTTGAGAATGTCTGCTTTACACAAGTGGTATATAGATTTTTGGTTGCTGAGTTATGTAAAGAAAGTTAAAAAAAGTTAAAAAAAAAACAACAGAAAACAAAACTCTAATGGAGAAGTTCATTGGTTTTTCCTGATAGATAGAAAGCCTCACCAAAGTTTTCCCTAGGACCTGTGGTTTCCATTAATCCATGAATTATCATTCATGTTGAGTTCATGCTTTTGTGTTTGAATCCAGATGAATTCAAAGTCTGGTTTTATTTTCTTTCAGGTGCTGGAGAATCTGGTAAAAGCACCATCGTGAAACAGATGAAGTAAGTTGAGACATGGCCTTTTGTAAGGCTGCATTTCCTCATAACACATGCAAAATCCATGTTATCTTTTCATTTTAGGTCTATGGTAATGATTTGTGGTTTTCTTCTTTTCAAAGAATCATTCATGAAGATGGTTATTCAGAGGAAGAATGTAAACAGTATAAAGTGGTTGTCTACAGCAACACGATACAGTCCATTATTGCGATCATAAGAGCCATGGGACGTCTAAAGATTGACTTTGGGGAAGCTGCCAGAGCAGTAAGTGTTTCTCATTTCCTCTTCACTTGCTCTTTTTCAGTAGGTGCAGTGAAGCAAAATTTGCTTCGTGTTTTAGGGAAATGAATTTAAGCAACTAGATAAGATGTAGCAAAGTAATATGTGCTCATTTGAGAAGTGTTAGCAATCTGTTTAGGACATATTAGATTACCACACAAAGAAGAATCTAGGAAATGAGTTCTTTGGATATACTAGAGGTTTCTGGAATAATTTTTATTCACCCACTTCTTTTACATCACTGTTTATTATTGTATAGTAGCAAGTGATAGTAAATTGATATGATCTAAAAGAGGTTGCCATGATATGTAGCTCTGCTTTCTACAGGTAGATTAAAGGCAAATTTCAGTTTCCAAGAATATACTTGGTAAGGACATGAACACCAAGTCTAAATTTTGGAGGCCATTTTCAGGTATACAAGAAGACTGTATCCCTTTACTACATTGAACTGTAGGCTGTAGAACTGGATTCTACCATGTCCTAGTATAATTCTTGTGCATGGCAGATAGTCAGAAGTTATGTTGATTCATTATAATACTTAGTGGGCTCTGAAGATTGTGTTTGTAAATTAGGATGTTTGATACAGTGTGGAAAGGGCCAAAGAGGGCATGGGATCTTTTATATCATAGTCAGCTAAATTCCCAGAGAAAGCTATGAATATATAAAATGATGTTCTAGCCCTGGCCAGTTTGGCTCAGCGGTTAGAGCGTCTGCCTGCGGTCCAGAGAGACCCGGGTTCGGTTCCCGCTAAGGGCATGTACCTTGGTTGCAGTTTGTCCCCGGCCCTGGTTGGTCGTGCGGGTGGCAGCCGCTCGATGTGTCCCTTTCACATCGATGTTTCCCTCTCTCTCTCTCTCTCTCTCTCTCTCCCCTTCTCTCTCTGCCTCCCACTCTATCTGTACAAAAAATGGAAAAATGTCCTCGGGTGAGGATAAAAAATAAAATAAAATAAAATGATGTTCTAGAACTAAGGTAGTCATCAGCTGTGTTCAGAGTGTCATACTTAGCTACTATGGGCAATAAAAGGAAGTAACTTGGGGAGGCTTTCTGAAAAGGCAAAGCCTATATGTTAGTGAAGTATCTTAGGGACTCTTCTAAGCAACTCTCAACTCATTAAATGCAAATTAATATTGATAAGCGGGGAAATCGTTGAAGGGAAAAATAATACAAGAGTGGCTATAATTGGATGATATTGGACTAGGAGGTCTTAGAAGTGGCATAAGGGAAGAGAGGAGCTAGAGGAAGGATTGTAAAATGATGTAGAGAAGATAGCAAAAGAAGAAGGAAAGAGGAAATGTATGAGGCATGACTCTTGAGGTTTTTGTAAAAAGGGGCTACATCACAGAAATTAGAGACTTTATTTCCTTGACTCCGAGCAAGGAAAATGTGATAACTAAGGCAGGAATAAGTACTTTATTTTTGTCTTAATTCTTTCTATTCTCTCACCTTCTGATTTTCTTTTCTTTCCAGTTTTTTACTCTTTCTACCAGCTCTCTCTTGTGTTTATTTTCTCCCTCTCTTTTCTCATCTCCTAACTGCTTATTCTCTGTTGTGCAGGGTGGGGCAAAAGTAGGTTTACAGTAATGAGTACACAAAACTGTTTATTCTTATATTATTATTTATTAATTATTGTATTATTTTTCATATGAACTATAAATCTACTTTTACCCCACCCTGTATTTATAGTGTCCAGTAACTGGTCAGTAATACTGTGTTTATTCTCTCCCCTCTCTTTGTTGGCTTTTTCTTCATTTCAGTTATTTACCATTTCTCTTAGTTTCTTCTTTTTTTATTTTTCACTCTTTGTTCTCCTTTATAACTCTTGATCATCCCTCCTTTCATTTCTTTCCATTATAAAATTAATTGTTATTAATCTTTGGGTCCTGACACTCCTTTGTCACCAGATGCAAGTGGACATTTTCTGTCCTGGTCAGTTTGGGTGCTGTAACAAAATATCATAGCTTATAACCAACAGAATATTTCTCACACATTCGGAGGCTGGCAGTCCAAGATCAGGCTGCCAGCATGGTCGGACAATAGGCTCTTCCAGGTTGCAGACATCTTTGTGTCCTCACATGGTAGAAGAAGAAGAGATCTCTCTGGGGTCTCTTTTATAAAGGCATTTATCTCATTCATTAGGGCTCCATCCTCATGACCTAAGCACCACCACCCAAAAGCGCCATCCCCTAATACCATCACATTGGGCATTAGGATTTGGGCCTGGGGTTGGATGGGGGAGAGGGACATGAACCTTTAGACCATATCATCCCTTCTTTCATTTCTTTAGTTTATCAAATCAGCATCATTAATCTTTGGATCCTAACACTTCTGTGTCACCAGATAAATAGTTGACGTCATTAATTCCTCTCAGGCCTCCTGAATCATCTAGCTTTCCAGCATCCACCCGTCCTAATCTGCAATTCAATATAATTTTTTGAAGTTTCTCTCTTTTTTCTATGTGTAATAATTTGTATTTATAGTTCCTCTATTATCCTCCTCTAGTAATTTATGGTAGGTTAAAGGGAAAATGGGAAAGGCTAGAGCTGGATGTGGGACAGGTTGCTTTTTCATGTCTGCTTAGGGTGAAGGTATGAAGTTCATTGCAGAGAGGGGCCTCTTTTTTTTTGGAGGGGGGGTATGTGCCCCTAGCAGGAACCGAACCCGGGACTCTCTGGTCCGCAGGCTGACACTCCAACCACTGAGCCAAACCAGCCAGGGCAAGAGAGAGCCCTCTTTATAGGCCTTTATAAGGAAGGTTTAGTGTGAGGAAGCAAGATTGGTTAGTGGAAGAGATTGGTAAGTGTTAAAGAGAAAATGTTTCCTCCTAAAACAGTGTTTACAAAGTCAGGACAGCAAAATTATGTAGCAATAGTGCTCTCTTTATTTTGAAGTTTCTATTAGAATCACGGTATTATATTAAAAAGTAGCACTTACTGAGTTTTTATTAATATCTGCGTGAGTCTAAATCAAATTTCAGAACCAAGGGACTTACAAAGTCTTCAGATATTAAATAAAGCACTATACCATCTACACAGAAGGGCCTGCTCACTGCTGAGTACTTGCCAATTTATGTAATTTTTCAGCTTTTCTCTTTCATTCCTTTATGTTAAATATCTCTGAAAAGAGAGGGAGAGAATGCAGATGTTAGATAAAGTTTCTTAGAGAGGGTTGGGCCTTACAAAATACAATAAAGAATATAGTAAAGGATCTTAAAGGAGGAATATTACTTGTCAAATGCCATAAGGCCGAAGACCCTGAGTTTGGCAGAATTAATTGCACCCTGGTTAGTTTTGTTTTGCTTTGTGTAGATGGATACACAAGTCTCAGGAGGTTTTGGCAGTGATTGCACCTATGCTCGGAAATGCTCTTTGCAGGCCACTGTGATACAATTGATTTCTCCCTTTCCCCCTTCACTTTTTTTTTTTTTTTTTATCCTCACCCGAGGATATTTTTCCATTTTTTGTACAGATAGAGTGGGAGGGAGAGAGAGGAAGGGAGAGAGAGAGAGAGAAACATTGACGTGAAGGGACACATCGAGTGGCTGCCACCCGCACGACCAACCAGGGCCGGGGACAAACTGCAACCGAAGTACGTGCCCTTAGCGGGAACCGAACCCGGGTCTCTCCGGACCGCAGGCCGATGCTCTAACCGCTGAGCCAAACTGGCCAGGGCCCTTTACTTTTTCTTTACCCAAAATATGCTTTTTTATATCTGCATTTGTATAGTCATTTGGAAATCTCCTGAGGCAGGTATTAGATTTGAGTGGGGAATCATCCCATGAGACTGACAGTTCGGGCTGAGAAGAAGAAAGCAAAACAGTTAACAGTTCTGATAGCCCATCTCGGTACTCTTCCCCCTCCCATAGTTTAGGTTTAAAAATTGGAACCACTTATAAAGCTATGTCTGTGACTCATGAAGTTTTGATCAAATCTCTCTTCGTAACTCTCTTTTCCTCCTGCCGCCTTTTTCCCCTATTTTATTAAGAGGGTTATTATTCCTCTGGGAAAATCTAAAGACTGAATTTTCTCTGAGGGATTTATTTCCCCAACTAGGCTTCCAGACTTCTAATATGCTTCAGTCTCCACTTCCTCCTGTTCCTCTGTCTGACCTGAAGGGGAAAGATGAGAACACTTTTCCTGAAACTTGTTTTGCTCCCTTTGACAAGTGTAGACTTCACCTCTTACCTGCTAGTCTTCATTTCTATTTTTATTGGAGACTTTCTTGAACAGAAAGCAAATGACTTACATGTATCTTCTTGAACAGAAAGCAAATGACTTACATGTATCTGTCTCACGGGCCAGTTTTTTTCTGTCAAAATTTCCAAGTGACCAGGATGGAGATTTGTAGGTCAGTTAGAAGAGGTCTTTGCAGGGGATGGTGGTCTGTGGAGAAGTGATAGGAAGGGGTAGAGGGAGCGAAACCATTCCTCGGCTCAGCACTTCTAACTATAGTGGAGAAGGGGTGAGACTTCATTGTGATTTCTCTGACTTCTCTGCCAGCAAAGATCTCTTTAATGCCTCTTTAAAAATAATGACATATTGTGTGTGTGCGCGTGTAAGTGTGTAAGTAAGAGACTTTTGTCAAGTCTTTAAGAACTAGAGAGTCATCTGTCTCTCTCTCTTCAGGATGATGCCCGGCAGTTATTCGTCTTAGCTGGCAGTGCTGAGGAAGGAGTCATGACCCCAGAACTGGCAGGAGTGATTAGACGGCTATGGAGAGATGGTGGCGTGCAGGCTTGCTTCTGCAGGTCCAGGGAGTACCAGCTCAATGATTCTGCTTCATAGTAAGTAATTTTCCTCCATGAAACTCACAGAAAGTAACTTGGTGACTCTAGAGAAAGTTCATTGCCCATTCTTGAGAAAAGGAGGAGCAGACAGTCTTGATTGTTTCACTTTAGTTGTAGAGCCCTTGGTCATTTTGTATGACTTGGAGAAAAATGTTTCCTCGTGGAATGTAAGTGGGAAACTTGGCACCACGAAAGTAGCTCTATGGTAGTTTATAATCAGCAAATGAAATTGATGAGACATCTCTTGCAGCTGGGTTCTGGTTCTCTTCCAGCTCAGTAAGTTCACTCTGTCTGCATCAGGGCTTTGCATTAATTGCCAGCTAATGAGGTAATTTAGAATTGTGACATCCCTTTTCATGCATCTAACTCTGTATCTGAGTTGCACTATGGATTTCTCTTGTACTAGTCACCACTTATAAATCTTTTGCCAGATCACAATAGCAGACTTGATATAGAAAGAATGTTGAGTCTTGGAATGAAGTTGAAGCATCTGCTTTTCAAAAAAAATTCTCTTGGGTGTTATGTAGTTTCAGAAAATTTGTAATTAATACTTCTGTTAAGCTATAACATGCTATCCTGTTTTGCTTCTTTTACAACATGTTTACTTATAAGATCTATATTCAGAATGTTTTTTAACATGCATTTGGGGGGCTTGGTGAGTTCTTCTTACTCGTATTCATTTCTTTACTAAATGAAGAAACTTTTAAACATCAAGATAATTTCTCCAGTATTATATTTTCCTACTTTCCCCATCCTCATTCTAGCTTAAATTGTTATAAGAAGAAAGTAAATTATATTTGAAAACTTGCTTATTTTTTATGAGAAAATCTGATTTGAGAAGCATTTCTGGATTCTTTCCTATCTTTTAATAATATATTAAAATTGTATATATTGGTAGTTTAAATAATCCTCCCAGTAGTCATCAAAGCTAGATTGTAATTGTTTTTGTTTTTTTTTCCCATCATACATTCAGTAAACTCTTTATCCTCCAACTACACCTAAAGGCATGTGATTTATAGATTTTTTTTTTTTCATAATTGTAGATCTAAGTTCAACTGATTCCTTATGAATGATTTATTACAATGGTGCCACCTGTTCTTCACTTGTCTGGCCAAAAATCTTTAGAAGCCCTGAAATAGTAAAGAATTTATTTAGCTTTGAAGCAGTCTTTTAATTATATTACTGACAAATTTCTTTGAAGGTATTTACAGTTTGTTTTGGCTTACTTTTTTTTTTTTAAAAAAACCACAACTTTGAGTTTCAAAAATAAAAACAGGAAATTCTCATTCTTACTGTGTATAGTTCTCTTTTTAGTAATTCAAACACCATTCTCTAAAATCCTATCAAATGTTTAAACATACAAATGACCATTAACTTTAAATGTTGGAGACTTTTGTGTTTTGATTTTTGTACTGTACAATGCACAGTTGAATTCATATTAAATTTCAGGAGTCTTTATTTAAGAAGAATAACATTTCCATATTTGTTTGTTTTTAATTGGCCTTCACATTTGAATTCTGGCAGAATTAAAACCACTTTTGTGTAGTGTATAGAAAACCTTTGATTGTATGTTCTGTGCTAGGTTCACAATTTCTTCGTATCATTTCTGTGATACTGAAAATCTGATTCTATTCTGCCACTTTAGTTCAGGAATTGCTTTTGGCAAGAAACTAGTCTTTTGACTTACTATACACATGGTTGGCTTCACCAGGTAAAAATAAACGTCTATTTTATTTAGTTATCTAAATGATTTGGATAGAATATCCCAAACCAACTACATTCCAACTCAGCAAGATGTCCTGCGGACAAGAGTGAAGACCACAGGCATTGTGGAAACGCATTTCACCTTCAAAGAGCTTTACTTCAAGTAAGTCATTAGCCTTTTGGTAGGATGTGCCAAACACAAACATCTTTTCTTTAGTTGGTATCTCTTAATCAGGGTAACATGCATTTCTTTTTTCTCCAAGTAGCATAAATGTTTTTGCCCATTTTTGGAGGGACTAAATTCAAATTAAACTGTAACTTAAGTACTAATAAAAGTAGTCGTATGGTTGCCAATGTATTTTATTTTTAATTTAATTCGTTTCAGCAGCTTTTTTGTTGGAACCACCAAAACAGGTTTTGAGTGTTTGTTTGGAAGGGTAACAACAATACTAAAAGGGCAGAAAACCATTTTGGTTTTGTTCCGCCATTTTAACATTAAAGTAGAAATGCTTTTTTCACCAGTGTCCATCCTTCCGGTTGCATATCCCTTTAAATTTAGTGGAGTGGAGCTAATGTAGTCATGACTCTTGGACTGATGTGTGCACAGTATCATGCACAAGTCAGTTTGTAATACAGTGCAGAATGGAAAATCATTCTGGGGATAAAGATATTTTGGGGAGGTATGATATTAAACAGTGGTTGTTTTAGAGAAAATTCTAGTATTTTAATACAAAGGATTTTCTCGTCAGCATTTGTAATTCTAAAACAGGCTTCAGCTTTTTTCTGTGTTATGGTCTATTGTAAATATTGGAACTGTCTTTGATTCCTGTTTTCTGCTTTTGTGACCTTTGAGATTAGAAGTAAACTTTCCCCCTTCAATATATGATGTTCTTTTTAGCTACTTCTTTATGCTTGTATGTAGAAGGTAATAGTAGGCACTGTTGCACATAAATGTAACTTTTAGCTCAGATCTTGTTTTCTTTTCTCTAAAAAAAAATGATTCAGAAGATTTATGAAATCCACACGGTTTAAGTATTACTAGATACCAGTTGAGGTCTTAAGATCTTAACACACCTAGATTTGAAACCTGGAAATACAGGAAATAGCAGTTCAGCTGAATATTTATAGAAGAGTTACTTATCTTGAGAACTGGTGAATTTATTTAACAAGAGTAGCAGAGGCCCTGGCTGGTGTGGCTCGGTGGGTTAGAGTGTCATCCTGTTCACCGGAGGGTTGCAGGTTCAATTCCCAGTCAGGGTACTTGCTCAGGTTGCAGGTTCAGTCTCCGGTTGGGGTGCATTTGGGAGGCAATCGATTGATATTTCTCTCTCTCTCCCTCTCTCTAAAAATCAATAAAAACATATCCTCAGAAGAAGATTTAAAAAATACACAAAAAAGAGTAGCAGAGTCCACTTAAATCACCCATGAAACCATAAGAATGAGTTGTCTCTTTGTGTACTATAAAATTAGTAATCCAGCCTGGCCAGTGTGGCTCAGTGGATTGAGTGTTATCCCATGGACTGAGAGGTCCTGGTTCAATTTCTGCTTAGGTCACATGCCCAGGTTGCAGGCTTGATCCCCAATAGGGGGCGTGCAGGAGGCAGCTGATTAATATTTCTCTCTGACATTGATTTTTCTCTCTCTCTCTTCCTCTGTCTCTAAAAAAAATCAATAAAAAAAGATTAACAATCCATTTATAATTAAATGTCACGACCTTTATTTAGTGTGGGAAACTTCCTTGCTGTTGACATAGATTGATCATTAGTTAGATAAATAAATCCTACTGGTCTTATGTCAGGATAAATAGCCAGATCTAATTAAGGTGCTACACCCACATTGTTGTTGGCATGTAGACATCTTTTTACAAAGGACTGTCATTTCTTCCTTTCCTCTTCTCTCTAGGCAAAACCACTGTCCATTTATTCAAACATTTATTGAGCATCTACTATATGCAAGGCATTGTGTAATTGCTTACTTGCCTCTCGGTTATTAGGTGATGCTTATAAAATGTTGATATGTTAGTGAATGATACTGTAAATGTCAATATGTCCTAAAAGCCCACGTTGGAAACTTTATAGTGTTCGACCAGTTATATAGACTTTTTAGAAGTAAATGGAGGAGTAAACTAAAATTATTGGTGTACCAGTGTGTGTCTCCCCTTGAAAGACTTCCATGGTGAAATATATGATGTTAGCTTTCCTAAAACCTATAGTATGACACTGTATTAAAGCCAACTTATGATTGCATTATTGTAGGAATCATGACCAAAGGTTGAAAAACACTGTAAGATCAATCAGAAGAAAAAGTTGGGTCATAAGGAGATAAGATGACTATTTTCTTCAAACACACATTGAGAAATTACTCAACTATCTCTTCTCTCAATTTCTGAGGAGAAAAGTAATATCTAGAACTAGATCCCTAGTCATTATAGATCTGATAAACTAAACCAGCTTGGCAGTTTTAACTTACCTTTAAACATTTTGTCACCATCATCAAACGTACATCTTAAGAATATCTAACCTACCTCCTCAGACCCTAGTAACAGCTGAGACACAGCTGTGCTGGTGCTTCTGGTGGTGCAGGAGACAGATGAGGACATTGTTGACAGAAGTTGGCTCACGGTATCAAGTAAGCCTCCAGAAGGGAGCAGTGAACTAAAACTAATCTGGATGGAACATAAATATGTCAACACTTGAGACTTGATAGTATTAATTAGGTTCAAATAAAACTTGGGACTGAGAAACATTTGTTAAGTTTTGTTTTAGATACTGGGTTCTTTTTTTAAAAGATATGTTTTTATTGATTTTTTAGAGAGAGGAAGGGAAAGAGAGATAGAAACATAGATGTGAGGGAGAAACGTCGATTGGCTGCCTCTTGCATGCCTCCTACTGGGGTTCGAGTCCGAAACCCTGGCATGTGCCCTGACCAGGAATCAAACTGGGACCACTCAGTCCATGGGACAATACTCAATCCACTGAGCCATACCGGCTGGTGATACTGGGTTCTTAAGAGTCCTACCATAAAATATAATTTACTTTTTTCCATAATCTCTAAAATATTTTTTATTTAAGGAAGGAAAACATATCTTAGTTATATCTCAATTTTAAAAAAGAAAAAAGTAAGGAAAACAAACTTTTGAATTAGTAGGGAGAGGTTATGGAAGAGAATACAAGTTGGGAATTTATATTTTGTTTTGTCCTCTCTTAACTAAAGAGGTAAACCATTTGAGAGAGGCAGTGGTGTTGTGGATAAGAGCTTGGGTGCTGGAGTTAGAATGCCTGGATTCAGATCCCCAGTCCCCATTTATTAGTAGTGTGCCCTTTGGCAAATTAGTTAACATATCTGTGCCTTAATTTCTTCATCTCTAAAATGGATATACTTACAGGAGCATTATGAGGGTTAATTCAATTAATGTACTTAAAATGTTTAGGATGGTGTCTGGCATCGTGGTAAGCACTCAAAAAATGTTAGTTATTATTGTTATTGTCTTAAGTTATATCATTCAGCCTTTTATTTTTCCTGCCTTTTTCCCCTCTCCTTCCCTTAATCCATTTCAATGCTTATTCTGCTTGCTTGGCACATCTGATACAAGCTGTGATAGAGAGGATGCTCAACTATTTCTCTAAAATGAGAAGTTTGATTATTCCGAAAGTTTGTTTTCTCATGTTCTGTTTTACTTTTAACCACAGATAATATTTTAACTACATTTTATCTGTTCCTTTGTTTGTTTTCTCTATTACAAATGGGGTTTAGAATATGCAATAGTGGGAAATTCCCTAACAATTTCAATTTAGGGAGAGGTGTGTGTGTGTGTGTGATCTTACTGAGTTTGTGTTTTTTTCCCTCCCCTTACTCAGGATGTTTGATGTAGGTGGCCAAAGATCAGAACGAAAAAAGTGGATTCACTGTTTTGAGGGAGTGACAGCAATTATCTTCTGTGTGGCCCTCAGTGATTATGACCTTGTTCTGGCTGAGGATGAGGAGATGGTATGTTGGAGCGTCTGGTAAAAAGCCTGCCTTACCTGTCCAGGAAATGGAAAATAACTCTTAGGAAGACTTTGTGCATCTGTGTGCTCATCGAATCAAAACTTAATGTCCTTAACCATTTTCCTTGTCAGTGAGATTAGATTTTCTTTTCTTTTTTTTTTTTTTTTTATCCTCACCCGAGGATATTTGTCCATTTTTTGTACAGATAGAGTGGGAGGGAGAGAGAGGAAGGGAGAGACAGATAGAAACATCGACGTGAAGGGACACATCGAGTGGCTGCCACCCGCACGACCAACCAGGGCCGGGGACAAACTGCAACCGAAGTACGTGCCCTTAGCGGGAACCGAACCCGGGTCTCTCCAGACCACAGGCCGACGCTCTAACCGCTGAGCCAAACTGGCCAGGGCAGTGAGATTAGATTTTCGAAATACTCGTTCATGCCCTATTAAATCTTAAGAGATGACAATGACAGCACATTGAGGATATCGGCAAGATTAAGTCCCCTTGTCAGCCAGTCCTTCTTCCCACCTCCCACCTTCCAAGAATTAAAAAACGATTGCCCTGGCCTGCTTTGCTCAGTGGTTAGAGCATCAGCCCACGGACCAGAGCGCCTCGGGTTCGGTTCCCGCTAAGGGCACGTACCTCGGTTGCAGTTTGCCCCCGGCCCCAGTTGGGAACCGGGGTTGTGTGGGTGGCAACCACTCGATGTGTCTCTCTCACCTCGATGTTTCTCTCTCTCTCCCTCCCGTTCTATTTGAAGATAAATGCAAAAATGTCCTCGAGTGAGGATTAAAAAAAAGAGGACTGGCTCAGTTTTGTGTTATCAGTGTCTGACTTGATTCCATGAGTGCCATTCAGTGCTTTTAAAACTTGTTGGTCTGTTTATTTAATGAACAGTTCATCCACCTTTACTTTTTGTTACTGACCTGCATCCTTTATTTCTTTTTTAGAACCGAATGCATGAAAGCATGAAACTGTTTGACAGCATTTGTAACAACAAATGGTTTACAGACACTTCAATCATTCTCTTCCTCAACAAGAAAGATCTTTTTGAGGAAAAAATAAAGAGGAGTCCATTAACTATCTGTTATCCAGAATACACAGGTAAGGGGTCATGAAGGATTTTGTTGCAGGTACCCACCTTTTTGTTTATTTTGTTTTTACTCTTTTCTATTTGTCGTATTTGTTCTTTCTTTCTCTCCCTCTCTTTTTATACAGGATGGGGCAAAAGTAGGTTTCTAGTTGTCCATGGAAAATACAGTGATTAATAAATAAAATAATACAAGAATGCACTGTTTTGCATACTCACAACTGTAAACCTACTTTTGCCCACCTTGTGTCATCCCATTTTATTTTTTAATTAATTTTTTATTTTTTATTTTATTTTTGTTACAGATGTTTCTCCTTTTTTACCCCATTGACACCCTCCTCCCTATTTCCTCTCCCCCATCCCCAGCTTTGTTGTCCATGTCCATTGGTTATGCATACATGCATATAAGTTCTGTGGTTTATCTTTTCCCTTCCCCCACCCCCTCTTCTGGGGATTGTCAGTCTGTACCCTACTTCCATGTTTCTGGGTCTACCCTATTCCTTAGACTGTTATATTCATTATATTCCATAAATAAGTGAGATTATGTGGTATTTTTCTTTTTCTACTTGGCTTACAGGTACCCAACTTAGATCAGCACTTCATTGACATTTCTACAACTGCCTTTTGTTTTTAACAATACCTGTTATCCTCATGGGTAGTGGTATCAACATAAATATGTGATTAGACCCCTTAAGTCTAAAGTGCCATTCCAAACATAAATGAGTGTACCTGTTTTATTTTGTATATTTTGGTTAATCCTCACCGGAGGATATTTTTCCATTGATTTTTAGATAGAGTGGAAGGGTGGTGGGGGGAGAGAGAAATATCGATCGATTGGTTGCCTCCTACACAACCCTGACAAAGTCAGGGATCAAACCTGCCACCCAGGTACATGCCCTTGACTAGGAATCGAACCCAAGACCCTCAGTCTGAGGGCCAACGCTCTAACCACTGAGCAAAACCAGCCAGGGCTGAGTATACCAGTTTGTTTCATATTTCTGTCCTTCTCGTTTTTTGAGGAACATAGAGAAAGATAAAAATCAAAATTTGTTATAAATACATTCAAGAAAATAGAAGGATAAAGTACAGTCATTGCACTCAGGAAACTGACATTAGTTGTAGAGAGAGAGACACACACGAAGAATTTCATTGTAATATAAAATGTTCATTAATAGAAGAACAGAAGCAGTGGTTACCTCGATGAGGTCAGTGCAGTCTTTTTCTAGAGAAAATTACACTTGGAGTGAGACAGTAAGAGGATGAATTAGAAATCACCAGGCAGATGGGGGAATAAAAACATTTTTTTTTAAATCCCCACCTGAGGATATTTTTCTACTTATTAGGTAGAGTGGGTGGGAGGGAGAGAGAGAGAAAGAGACGGAGAGAAACATCAATGTGATAGAGCCACATCAACTGGTTGCCTCCTGCACGACCTGACCAGGGCCAGGGACAAACCACAACCAAGGTATGTGCCCTTGACTGGAATCAAACCTGCGGCTCATTGGTCCACAGGCCAACGCTCTAACCACTGAACCAAACCAGCCAAGGCATAAAAACATTTTAGGAAGAGGGAATAGCATATATGAATATACAGAGGTAAAAACAAAATGACATCATTTGTTCTGGAACTTAGAAGGAATTTGGTGTTGCTGAAGCTTTTTTGTTTGTTTGTTTTATGTTTTTAATTTTTTTTTCTTTATTGATTTTAGAGAGAGAGGAAGGGAGAGGGAGAGAGAGATAGAAACATCGATGAGAGAGAACATCAACCGGCCGCCCCCTGCATGCCCCCCACTAGGCATCTGGCCTACAACCTGGGCGTGTGTCCTGACCAGGAATCGAACCAGTGACCTCTTGGTGCATGGGTCAACACTCAGCCACTGAGCCACACTGGCCAGACTGTTCATATGTTTTTATTGATTTTTAGAGAGAGAGGAAGGGAGAGAGAAAAACGTAGATGAGAGAGACACATCGATTGGCTGCTTCCTGCACATCCACAATGAGGATCAAGCTTGCGACCCAGGCACATGCCCCAGCTGGGAATCGAACTGGAGACCTCTTGGTCAACACTCAACCACTGAGCCATACTGGTTGGGCAGTATTGCTGGAGCTTTAAGTGGTGTAAAGAGATGAGCAGGGATGTTCATGGAGAGCCTGGTTTTTCATGCTGAGAAAGTAGGGAACTATTGAAGGATTTTAATTAGGATACATGATAGTGTCGGAACTTTGCTTCAAAAAGATTATGTAGCCCGGCCGGTGTGGCTCAGTGGATTGGGCGTCCGTGGTTCAGTGGATTAAGTGTCCTTCCATGGACTGAGAGGTCCAGGTTCCATTCCCAGTTAGGGCACATGCCTGGGTTGTGGGCTCGATGCCCAGTAGGGGCATGCAGGAGGCAGCTGATGGATGTATCTCTCTCACATTGGTGTTTCTATCTCTCCCTTTGCCTCTCTCTAAAAAATTCAATAAATATTTTTTTAAAAGATTATGTAATAAATGGCAATAAAGATAGATGGTAGGAGGCCCAGCCAGTGTGGCTCAGTGGTTGAGTATTGACCCATGCACCAAGAGGTTGCTGGTTCGATTCCCGGTCAGGGCACATACCCAGGTTGTGGGCCTGATCCCCAGTGGGAGGCATGCAGGAGGCGGCCAATTGATATTCTCTCTCATCGATGTTTCTGTCTCTCTCCCTCTCCCTCTCTCTAGTATCAATAAAGAAAAAAAAGATATAAAGTTATATCGTAGAAGCCAAAAACAAGAATACAGACATGTCTTATGAATGCAATTAGAACTAGGAAATGCAAAGCTGTTAAGAACCCTTGAAATATTTCTTTCCCTATTTCTTTTTCTCCTCCTCTCTCTGTGTTTTCTTTATTCTTCTCTCTTCTTACCAACTTTGCTGCTCTGTTTATGTAATAAAAGATGGTCCTTCCACAGTTTCTATATCTTCTCCATTTTAAAGACCATGCTAAAATGGAATCAGTTTGCCCCAGGTTCAAATTCCTGCAAAAGACATGACTGCCAGGGCTGCACTACTATGACCTTTAGATCAGAATTGGGTATGTCCAGGGAAGGGGAACTCTTATTCACTGAGCAGACACTGTAAATGCTTTCTATAGTAAGGCTAGTATAAGGAAGTGGGAAGAGTAAAGGTACTCACAGAGGCGCTGTCTTGATTGAGTGCTGGTGCTGTTCTCTTTTTCTTTAATCCTCACCCGAGGACATTTTTCCATTTTTTGTTCAGATAGAGTGGGAGGGAGAGAAAGGGAGAGAGAGAGAGAGAGAAACATCGACTTGAAAGGGACACATCGAGTGACTGCCACCCGCACAACCAACCAGGGCCGGGGACAAACTGCAACCGAGGTACGTGCCCTTAGCGGGAACCGAACCCAGGTCTCTCTGGACCGCAGGCCGATGCTCTAACCGCTGAGCCAAACCGGCCAGGGCTGATGGTGTTCTCTAAATTCATATTTAGGAATGTTGATTTTGAAGTGTCTGTGGAACATCCAGGTGGAGATATCTAATAGGCAATTATATACATGGCCTTGGAGCTTGGGGAGAGGTTGAGGGTTAAGATATATTGATAGGAATACAGTGTGGAAATGAAAACGACAACTTTAGGATAATGTTATAGAATGTGGAGAGAAAAGGATGGATGAAAGAAGAGAGTACCAGCCTGTACTGGCAGGAGAGAAAGAAAGATTTATAGAGGACCCAAAGAGAAGAACCAGAAGAGCCAAAGTATCAAAAACTAAGAGGAGAGTTTAAGAAGTGAGAGGTGGCCCTGGCTGGTTTGGCTCTGTGGTTAGAGTGTTGGCCTGCGGACCAGTGAGTCATGGGTTTGATTCTGATCAAGGGCATGTACCTCAGTGGCGGTATGTCCCTGGCCCTGGTCAGGTTGTGCAAGAGACAGCCAGCCGATATGTCTCTCTCACATAGATGTTTCTGTCTCTCCCTCTCTCTCCCCCTCTCCCCTCACCCCCAACCTGTTTGATGATAAAATAGCCTTAGGTGAGGATTAAAAAAAAAAAAAAGTGAGGCATGGTCAACAATGTTGTATGCAGAAAAATAAAGTAAGATACACATTGAAAAGTGGCCTCTGGAGTTGGCTGTTACTGAGAGCAGTGTGAGTGGAGTGATGAGAGTGGAGCCAGGGTGAATGTTTGTAGGCTTAGAGGTAAGAGCCTATAGCAAAAGAAAAGTTAAAAAAAAAAGTCAATGTGATTGATGGAGCGAGATTTGCAAGCAAGTGGGAAAAGAAGAAATCAAGGGTCTAGGTAGAACCCTGGCCAGTGTGGCTCAGTTGAGAGTCGTCCCATGCACCAAAGGGTGCCAGTTTAATTCCTGGTTGGGGCACATACCCAGGTTGCAGGTTTGATCCCCAGTTGGGGTGTGTGGGGAAACAACCAATCGATGTTTCTCTCACATCTTTGTTTTTCTCTTTCTTCCTCTGTCTCTCTAAAATCAATAAAAAACATTAAAAAAAAAGTCTAGGTAGGATGAATGGATGAACAAAGAATGGCATGTCCATGGAGTATTGTTCAGCCATAAAAAGGAACAAAGTACTGATAGAACAAGTTTTTAAAATAGAGAGAGGTGGTGGTTGCATAACATTGTGAATACAGGAAATGCTATCTTATTGTACATTTTAAAGTAGTTATATGCTGTGTGAATTTTACCTCAACTTAAAATAAAAGAGAGTCTAGGTAGAGCAATTGAATTTTGAACCAGAGGGAAGATATCTCTAAGACCAAAGGTACAAAAATAAGTTTAGATAGTAGTAACTTTTTTAAAGAATTTTTTTATCCTCACCTGAGGATATTTTTCCATTTATCTTCAGATAGATGTGGGAGAGAGTGAGAGAGAGAGAGAGAGAGACGTTGACTGGCTGCCTCCCACATGACCCCAGCAGGGTTGGGGATGAACCGCAACCGAGGTACATGCCCTTGGCCGGAATCGAACCCAAGACTCTGGTCTCCGAGGGCTGATGCTCTAACCGCTAAGTAAAACCTGCCAGGGTGATAGCAGTAACTTTTTAAGCAAGGTGTCGAGCGAAAAGATTAAGATTATAGGTTAAACCCCACGGCCTCTTTTTCTCAGGGAGGTTGGGAATGTGGTCATCTGTTAGAGTGAGGTGGGAGGTGAGAGCTGGGTGAGTTTATATAGAAAGTAGACAGGTTTTAGGGTGAGAGAGAAGTCTTTGTTTTTTTTTGTTTTGTTTTGTTTTGTTTGTTTGTTTTTTTTTATCCTCACCCTAGGATATTTTTTCATTTTTTGTACAGATAGAGTGGGAGGGAGAGAGAGAGAGAAACATCGACGTGAAGGGACACATCGAGTGGCTGCCACCCACATGACCAACCAGGGCCGGGGACAAACTGCAACCGAAGTACATGCCCTTAGCGGGAACCGAACCCGGGTCTCTCCGGACCGCAGGCTGACGCTCTAACCGCTGAGCCAAACTCGCCAGGGCGAGAAGTCTTTCTTAAGACAGATAAAAGGATTGACATTAATGTTCCAGCTGGGAATCGTCTTCACACATAGCAAAGAGCCCTCAGTGTCACAGCTTTTTGTGTGTGTGAACTTTCAAGCCTATTTTCCATTGACTTTATTCTTCTTTTTATTTTATTATTATTTTTTTATTGATTTGTTTTTGTTACAGATGTTTCTCCTTTTTCCCCCATTGACACCCTCCTCCCCATCCTCCCCCCCTGATTCCCAGCTTTGTTGTCTATGTCCATTGGTCATGCATACATGCATATAAGTTCTGTGGTTTATATCCCCCGCCCCAGGCTTGTCAGTCTGTACCCCACCTCTATGCCTCTGGGTCAGTTTTGTTCATCACTTTGTTTAGTTCATTATATTCCACAAATAAATGAGATCATGTGATATTTGTCTTTCTCTGCTTGGCTTGTTTCGCTTAGCATAATACTTTCCAGGTCCTTCCATGCCATCTCAAAGGATAAGAGATCTTTCTTTCTTACAGCTGCATAGTATTCCATTGTGTACATGTACCACAGCTTATTTATCCACTCATCTACTGATGGGCACTTGGGTTGTTTCCAGATCTTAGTGATTGTAAATAGTGCTGCTATGAACATAGGGGTACATATATTCTTTCAGATTGGTGTTTCAGGTTTCTTAGGGTATATTCCTAGAAGTGGGATCACTGGGTCAAATGGCAGTTCAATTTTTAATGTTCTGAGGTAACACCATAGTGTCTTCCATAGTGGCTGTACCAGTCTGCATTCCCACCAGCAGTGTACTAGAGTTCTCTCTTCTCCACACCCTTGCCAGCACTTGTTTGATGATTTGTTGATGGCAGCCATTCTGATAGATGTGAGGTTATACCTCATAGTTGTTTTAATTTGCATCTCTCTAATGATTAGTGACGTTGAGCATTTCTTCATATGTCTCTTGGCCATTTGTATGTCCTTTTTGGAGAGGTGTCTATTTAGGTCCTCTGCCCATTTTTTTTTTCTTTTTCTGTTTTTGGTATGTACCCCTTGTAGGAACCGAACCTGGGACTCTCTGGTCTGCAGGCCGACGTTTCAAGTGCTGAGCCAAACCGGCCAGGGCATCTCTGCCCATTTTTTAATTGGGTTCTTTGTCTTCTTTTGTTGAATTGTATGGACACTCTATATAGTTTGGAAATTAACCCCTTATCTGATGCATCTTTGACGATTATGGTCTCCCATATAGTGGGATCCCTTTCTGTTTTGATGGTTTTTTCTTTTGCTGTGCAGAAGCTTTTTAGTTTGATGTAGACCCATGTATTCATTTTTTCTTTTGTTTCTGTTGCCTTAGATATTGTATCAGTAAAAATTCTGCTGCGTATGATGTCTGAAATTCTGTTGCCTGCATTTTCTTCTAGGATTTTTAAGGATTCACAAGTCACATTTAAGTTTTTTATCCATTTTGAGTTTATTCTTATGCATGGTGTAAGTTGATGGTCTAGTTTCATTTTTTTGCATGTAGCTGTCCAATTTTCCCAACACCATTTATTAAAGAGGCTGTCTTTTCATCACTGTATGCTCTTGCCCCCTTTGGCAAATATTAATTGAGCATATTGTCTTGGGTCTATTTCTGGGTTCTCTATTCTGTTCCATTGATCTGTCTGCCTGTTCTTGTGTCAGTACCAGGCTGTTTTGATTACCAGTGGCTTTGTCCGTTGACTTTATTTTTAAGGAATCTCACAGTCCTGATTTCCCAAGTCTCAATATCTGTTCCTACTTTTTCTGTTTTTCTTTTCTTTCTTTTTTCTTTATTGATTTTAGAGAGAAAGGAAGGGAGAGGGAGAGAGAAATAGAAACATCGATGAGAGAGAACATCGATTGGCTGCCTCCAGCATGTCCCCCCACTGGGGATTTGGCCCACTACCTGGGCATGTGTCCTGACCGGGAATCGAACCGGCGACCTCTTGGTGCATGGGTCGATGCTCAACCACTGAGCCACACCAGCCAGGCTGTTTCTACCTTTTCAATCATCTGTCTCCTTTAAATTATAGAAGTTCTACAGATCTCACGAAAACCATTTCAAGCACCTACCAAGCTATCCTTCATTTTAAAAAATATTTTGTTGAAATAATACCCATTTTTTTGTTTAGTGTTTATATATTTAATTGCTGGTATTTTTTGTCATGCTTAATGTCACTGAAAATAGCCTCTGGTTCACAGGAATAACTATGTTTTTGTTGGATTTCCTTGGTTCTGCAGCCAGTTTCTAGGGCTACTCTAAAGGCTCACAGGTAGATAAGATAGTGTAGGAAACAGGTGATTAAGGGTGTTAATTACAAATGTTGAAAATGGGGTTTACTTTTGGTCCCCCCACCTTTAAGAAAATAACAGCATTATTGAGATAAAATTCACATACCAGAAAATTGACTACTTAGAGGTGTATAATTCAGCACCCTTTGTATCTGTTAGTTTACCTTTGGTTATTTAAATTATGGCCATAAGGCTCTGAGGCTAAGCCCCCTCAACACTGGGATGATTTTGAAAAGAAACATGACCTTAACCTTTTGAATTATTTCACAATCACTTTAAGAAGTACAGGCTTTGTGACTTTTTAAACAACTGTGTTATAGAAATATATCTTCCTACACCCCTAATTTCATTTTGAGTTTTTAGTCAAAAAGTCTAAATGAAGAGGGTTAAGGGAAACTTAAAGTTTGTTGTCCTGGATCTTTGTGTATGATGATTTTGTTTAATTTATAATGATAAGAGTGTGCTCTCAAGAAAGATCTAATACCAAATGCCCATCAGTAGACGAATGGATAAAAAAGCTGTGGTACATATACACAATGGAGTACTATGCAGCTGTAAGAAAGAAAGATCTCTTATCCTTTGAGACGACATGGAGAGACCTGGAAAGTGTCATCCTAAGCGAAATAAGCCAAACAGAGAAAGACAAGTATCATATGATCTCACTTATTTGTGGAATATAATGAACATAACAGTCTGAGGAATGGGGTATCCCAGAGATGTTGAAGTGGGGTACAGACTGACTATCCCCAGAAGAGGGGATGGGGGGGAGATAAACCACAGAACTTATATGCATGTATGCATGAACAATGGACAGGGACAACAAAGCTGGGGAGAGGGTAGAAAGGGAAGGGGAGGGGAAATCAGTGGGTAAAAGGAGAAACATCTGTAACAAAAATAAATAAATTAAGAAAAAAAGCCCTGGCTGGTTTTCTCAGTGGTTAGAGCATCAGCCTGCAGTCCCAAGAGACCCGGGTTTAGTTTCCACTAAGGGCACGTACCTCAGTTGCAGTTTATCCCCTGCCCTGGTTGGGTCGTGTGGGTGGCAACTACTCGATGTGCCCCTTTCACTTCGATGTTTCTCTCTCTATCCCCCTCCCACTCTATCCAAACAAACTATCGGAAAATGTCCTCGGGTGAGGATAAAAGAAAAAAAAACTCCTACACTCAACAATAAAAAGACAGCCCAATTTAAAAAAAAAAGAAAAGAAACATCTAATAGTGATTATAGAAATATAGAAATCTGTCTATATTCAGTTGGCTCATATTCCCTGTCCATCAGTAAATGATGATGGCTTGACTTAGTTGAATTTAATTTGAGCTGAGAATATTGGGTGTTTGCTTCAGGTTCCAATACATATGAAGAAGCAGCTGCTTACATCCAGTGCCAGTTTGAAGATCTGAACAGAAGAAAAGATACCAAGGAAATCTACACCCACTTCACCTGTGCCACAGACACCAAGAATGTGCAGTTTGTTTTTGATGCTGTTACAGATGTCATCATTAAAAACAACTTAAAGGAGTGTGGACTTTATTAAAATGTGTGGATGTGACTAAAAGGTAAAACTTTGGACAGTTTTATTAACAGTGCTGCAGTGATGTCTCTTGACTTAGTCAACTTTCTCTAATTAAGAATGTTCTTCTTTTCTAGTTATGACAGTGTGGAGTGTTGAGACCAGACTTCTCTTGCTGTCTCAATGGGCGGCAGCGAGCATGAACGGGACCAGGGATGGCGGCAGCATGCAGAATCTTAGCACTCTTTAGCACAATCTTCTGTATTAGGGAACTTAATTGACATGAGATGCTAAAGTCAGATATTGGAATTGGGGCAAACTGTAAAGTATGAATCAAGACATCACTTGGATTTCATAATCTCAAATGTTTAGGGCAGATGTGAAGTTGAGGTGCTGCATTCCAGAACTTCAATATGTAGCTTATTCTTTTTTTTTCCTTGTTAACAAACCATCAGTAGTGTATTTTAAAAAATTTGTTTCCATCAAGAATTACTACTAAATTTTGTTTCTTTGTTTGCAAAAGAATCTTTATTAAAACACACACAGTCTTAACTATGCACATCATATGAGCAAATCATCTTGAAAATATTCCTCTTAGTAGGAACTCTTTGTTTTTTAACTCTTGGTATGGTCAGATATAATATTTCTGTAATTATGTAATTCTTTAGTTATTGGGGCTGTGATTACAGCTTTTTTGGATGAAATTTGTGTTACTATCCTGTTGAAAGAACCATTATGGTTTCTAAATGGTAATTGGAGAGTTCTGTATAACTCTTTTTTTTAAGCTTAGGGTTGAAGTTTAACCGGGTTTATGCTGATTACCAAATTACTAAATAAATGCTTCTGTAGTATGATAAAGTCAACTTCTTGGACACAAACATACCCAGGGCAGCTGCCAGTAAGAAATGCAAATTGCTAAATTTCAAACTGAACCAGTGACTTTGCTGCTACATCCCTACTAAATTGGCCACTTTGATCCTTGCTTGTTTGTCTCAGTCATAGGGAACTTTGTAACTGATACCACTTGTTTTTCATCTTCTATGGCTTTTTCTGTTGGGAAACATCTAAAGTGTATTAACAGTGCATGCTTTTACTTTGTAAATGTGGTGCCAAATCCCTGTTTGCCATTGTTTTTATTGTAGCAATGTTAATTGTAGTAATCCTTAGTCAGTACGTTCTTTTGCCGAAACCATTGCATTTTGGGACCTTTTCCCACTTTGTCGTGTGTACAGATTTTAATCTGTTATAGATGGCAGCAGTATTAAAATGGTGAGTAAAGAGTCCAGGTTTGTTCCTGTTTGTAAGTAGTCCTTTCTGGAAATATTTTTCTGTTTCTTTTTGCCCCTGCTGAGTGTGCTTTGGCCTATGTCTGAGAATGGGTTTAGGTAGAAAGGCTCCCTGAAGGGCTAGTGTAATGGGATTGTTGAATCTTGGCCAGCCGGAGGATCTTATGTTCCATCTGTGTGACATGCAGTCACAGTCCTTTTTCCAGATTTACATTTTGGTTGTGTGGAGAGCTATATTCACCTCAGCCTACAGGTCTTTTTGTACAGTGTACAGCAAATGTTATTACATATTGAATGGTGCATTGAGGAAGCAGATGAAGAGAATACATTCTGAGCATTCCATATCAATAGTTTAAGCAGTGCCTTTTGGGGTCCAATCTTTTAGCATTGGATTCTGTTTCATCTTTTGATGTGACCTTTCACTAGTTCAGAAAGAAAAAAATGTTTGGTGGTCATCACAGCTGGTTCAGAAAGGAAGCCACAGTAGTTCAGTGCCTTTATTGGTAGATTGTCTTTTTTCTTATTCTTTTGGAAAAGTATAACTATGCATATGGTGAACTGTGTTATCTAACATTGTTTTTTTTCAGGGTTGGGAACACTGGATCTAAAAGAAAGAAAATTATCAGCTTTAATTAGTGATTGACTTATGCCCACAATGTAAATAGGGTTGATAGTTCTTGTTTGTTTTGAATATCTCTTTTGCTTATTGTATTTTGTAAATAGAATCATCTGGAAATGAGAACTGCTCCAGTGTTGTTTTAACTGTAGTCTTTCTATAGTCTGGCTAATGGGATGGTGGTGTTGATAACCCAAAATAAGAGATAACCCCAAAAATTTAATTTTACTAGAAATTCATTTTGTATTTTCATTTTGAATACTTCTGATATATTCATTTTTAGCCCTTCTGTTAAAAATAGTATTTTTCCACTTTCCTGCTGTTTACACTTGTTCTATATTTACATGAAGATCAACCTCTACCCACCATACCAGATGACTTACCTAAATGTACATTCCTTGTGGACACAGGGACACAGTTTAAGTCGGTGGTTTTCAAATATGTCTTAGGTTAAAATCACCTGGATGCATCTCAGATTGACTCTTGGCCAGCAGGCTAGCAAGCTGTAACTTTAAAAAGGTTATTCTGATCATCAGCCCTTCAGATCACTATCATATTTTGAAATAAAATATTTTTCTTATAGCAGAGCTAGAATGTAGGAATGAAACATCCTATGTGCTAGCCTGGAGAAAAAGGATTGATATTTGTTATCAAAGAAACTAAAAGTTTCCTTGTGTCTTGTCTGTGAAGAATGCTGGAAATTTGTGATGGATATTTTTCCATTTATCTCAGACAGCATTGGAGCGGGGGGCGGAGACATCAACGTGAAAGAAACACATCAACTGGTTGCCTCCCTCATGACCCTGACCAGGGCTGGGGACGAACCACAACCAAGATACATGCCCTTGACCGGAATCAAACCCAAGACTCATTGGTCCATGGGCCGAAGCTCTAACCAGTCAGGGTGGGAGTATGTATTTTAAAATAAATTCTTTAGCCTGACTGGTGTGGCTCAGTGGTTAAGCATCGACCCATGTACCAAGAGGTTGCCGGTTCGATTCCCGGTCAGGGCACATGCCCAGGTTGTGGGCCAAATCCCCAGTGGGGGTACATGCTGGAGGCGGCCAATCGATGTCCTCTCTCATCAATGTTTCTCTCTCTCCCTCTCCCTCTCCTTCTTTCTAAAATCAATAAAGGAAAAAAAAAATTAAAATTAATTCTTTAGGTGGTACTCATTGTAGCTAACCTGGCCAGCGTTTGAGGATAACTGAGTAGGAACTAATATTAAATGAACACAAATAGTAGACAGGTAACTTAAGTCACTAGTGAACAACTGTTATTTTTATTTGCCAATAAGAAGCTCCTTTTGTACATGACTTACAGTGTCTTCCACCAAAAAAAAAAAAAATTAGTATGAGGACTGTTTGGTCAAACAACATTTCTACATTTTATTTTATTATTATTTTTTATCCTTACCTGAGGACATTTTTCCACTTTTTGTTCAGATACAGTGGGAGGGGGAGAAGGGAACAGAGAGAAACATCAGTGTGAAAGGGACACATCCAGTGGCTGCCACCGGCACAACCCAACCAGGGCCAGGGACAAATTGCAACCAAGTTACGTTCCCTTAGCGGGAACCGAACCCAGGTCTCTCTGGACCGCAGGACAACACTCTAACCGCTGAGCCAAACTGGCCAGGGCTATTTCTACATTTTAGATACAGAGTATGTAGTTTTTATTTTTTTATTATTATTTTTAATTGATTTTTTAGAGAGAGAAGAAAGGGGAGGGAGAAACATCAATGTGAGAGAGAACTGTTGATCAGCTGCCTCCTGAGCGCCCCCTACTGGGGATTGAGCCCACAACCCAGGCATGTGCCTTGACTGGGAATTGAACCAGGACCTTTCAGTCCATGGGACGATGCTCAGTCCACTGAGCCACACAGGCCAGACCAAAGTATGTAGTTTTTATACAAAATTAAGACAAAATAAGAAATGAGGGCTTCTAAACATGTATTTATTTCACTGCATTTATTTACGCAGTGGACATTTAAAGATTTGCATACCAAAGTAAAGATAGCCTCCTGTGACAGAGCTGTGGATGTAATACAGTCGTCCCTCGCCACTTTACACTTCTACTTTCCCAGCTTCACTCTATCGCGGTTTAATAGATGGAAGCTGCAAAAGTTGAAGCGCGAAGTGGTAAGGGACGACTATAAAGAAAGAACCCTACTTCGCGGAAATCCATTTATCGCTGTAGAGTCTGGAACTGATTAACCGCGATAAACAAGGGCTGACTGTAACATGAATATTCACCATTGGTGAATAAAGAGCAAAGCTAGCTAGCCTAAACTGTGGAGTGAAAGTCTTTTTGAGAGGACCAGGGAAGGGGTGGGTAAAAGCAATGATTGAGGAGTCAAATATTAAAGGCTTTGTATGCCCAGTGCTAATGTTTTCTCTGCCTAAAGGCTAGTGGGAATCAACAAGGGAGCAGAAACAATAAAATAATCAGTAAGTGCACAGCTGGGATGCACCTTCTCAGTGGATTAGCATTCACTAAGCTGTTAAGATCTTTGAGAGCTGGAATATTAAATTTTGTACAACCAGAGTTTTCTGTCTCCTAACCTCATTACCCTCCATCTTGTGCCCATATTCCATGTATGAGAGGTTCCCAGTAAATATAACAAGTCGCAGGAAATTACCTGTTCTAATCTGAGACCCCAGAATCTTGGGAGGTGGGAGAGTTTGACATGCTGGGTTCTGTTTTTTTTCCCTGCTTCCAACTAGCTATGAACTCTTCTAGTCTTACATCCCTATTCTGTTAACTAAAGGTGGGCTTAGTTGTATCTTCCAACTATGATGTTTCATGGTTCTCATCAAATAGAAATAACATTTAAAAGTGCTTTGGCCCTGGCCAGTTTGGCTCAGCGGTTAGAGCACCGCCTACGGTCCAGAGAGACCCGGGTTTGGTTCCCGCTAAGGACATGTAACTTGGTTGCAGTTTGTCCCCGGCCCTGGTTGGTCATGCGGGTGGCAGCCACTCGATGTGTCCCTTTCACATCGATGTTTCTCTCTCTCTTGCTCTCTCCCTCCCGCTCTGTCTGAATAAAGAATGGAAAAAAGTCCTCCGGTGAGGATAAAAAAAAAGTAAAAGTGCTTTGTAAATATTCATGATACTCAAGATTATACTGCACTACAAAAAAGTCATTGTAGCCAGTTGTCTTTTCCAGCATCATTTCCCATATTCATTTTGAAGACCTGAAATGAAGTTCAACTCTATGTGGGGCAGGTGAAATGTCTTTGTTTTGCATTTAAATGCAGTTAATTCTTTTTTTTAATCCTCACCCAAGGATGTTTTTTATCTTCAGACAGAGAGGGAGGGAGGGAGAGAAAGAGGGAGAAACACTGACATGAGAAACACATCAATTGGCTGCCTCCTGCATGACCCTGACCAGCGCTGGGGACCAAACCGCAAATGAGGTACGTGCCCATGACCAGAATTGAACCCGCAACTCTGGCCGTGGGCCGATCCTCCAACCACTGAGCCAAACCAGCCCGGGCCAGTTTTATTTTCTGTTCATACTTTTTTGCTTACTTTTCCATGACCAAAAGGCAGAAAGTTCCCTTCTGGAATTTGTCATGTGTCTGTTTAACCTCACTGAAATGTCTTCCCACTTCGACCTAGCAGGACCACCAGAGGCTCTGGCACACTTGCAGTTCCCGCCCTGCCATACACAGAGGTCCTACTGGAACCTGTGCTCCGGGAGCTGTGCTGGGTAGAGGGGGCAGTGGGACGCAGGAGCTCTGCACCCTTCGCCACCTCCACCGAGCACGGCTGGCACACTGTGGTCTACGGCACATCACCAAGTAGAGAGGGTTTTGAATGTTGTTATTTCTCACCTTGGGGATGGGGCTGCCCTGATTTGGACTGCTTGGGGTACATGTAAATGAATTTTTTTTTAATCAGGGTAGAGCCTGTTATAAGTCAGTCTTTAACATTGCTTTTAAGACTGAATTTGTGTGCTGCTTTCATCCATCCTTATCCACAGAAACATAAAAGCGCATTTCCAATTATATTGTATGTCTTCCCTTTTTTTATTATGGCAAAATATACATGACATAAAACTTACCATTTTAATTTTAAAGTATACAGTTCAGTGGCCTTAACTACATTCATTGTTGTATAACTATCACCACCATCTATTTTCAGAACTTTTCATCTTTCCCAACTGAAACCCTGTTCCCCATGAAACACTAACTCCCTTTCCCCCCAGCCCACGGTAACTGTCATTCTACCTCGTGTAAGTGGCATAAGTCCTTTTGTGTCGATTATATTGTGTTTTTGTAAAAAAAATTTTTTATCAGATTTACATATGACATGGAAACTAGTTTACATGTGGTTTACTGTCATCAGTGATCATGAAATGCAAGGGAAGTGCTCTAT